AAAATGCAAATAGCCTCCGCACTGAAAACATACTAAATGTTGTACAAAGATTGGGACGTACTTATTTTTATGTAGTATAAAATAGAAGTTTAATTTTACTTTTCTGCACCACTTGCTTTTTCCAAATGGAGTTAGTTTGCATAAGCAGTTATTTTCAGTTTACATATATTATTTTATATTATAGGCTATATTGTGTGCCTTATATTTTATACTTAATATAATTTATTGATTAAGCGTATTGCATAGGCCCACCTATTTTATTGTTTCTTATGCTAAATCTGATGACCAATGACAACCCTTCTGTCCTTTGCTGATCTTTTCTCGACACAGTGTACATTTCTCTTTCTCCTGTGTATAGCCCCTGTCAGTAATTCTCACTGGCAAACTCCAACCTGGGGCACTATGAAGAGAGAAGATTGAGGGATATAGTTCTTGACTTCTCCTATGGAATGAAAAAGACCTTAGAGGTCTGAAATAAGATTAATTTCTGAGTCAAGTTACAAGAATAAAATTGGATTTTCTGTCAGATTCATTTATTAGATATGTCCCAAACCATGTTTGTCATAAAAGCGTGATTTTTTTCTATTAAGTAATTAAAATCAGATGCTTATCTTTTATATTTTAACATACCTGAAATTATGATGCACCTTACAATTAATTGTTTATCAAAGTTTATCTGTAGATAGTTTTCTCTTGTGTAGGTTCACAAAATATTATATGAAGAGTAATCAAATGTAGTATATGTAATCCACATAGAAATGGACGTGGGATGACTAGCTAATAATAATGGTTTCTGTGTCTCAATAAGAATGTTTAGTAGTGTGTTCTTAGATTTTATTTTGGGAGACAGAGCAATGTATTTTGAGATAACACTCAAACTTGCAATTTCCTTATCTCTCAAGTTACAGAATATTGTGCAACAGCTTCCCTCTCCCCACTTCATTATCTCTTTATTTCTGTCTTACAAAAAAATATACTTCTGCAGGACAGAAATAAGCCTGAGTTTTAGCATTGGGTAGATCTATATGGAAGCTCGTAGGAAAAAAAAATAACTACAGTGTTATGTCTTGATAAGTGACATTTACAACTCTAGTGACTAACGAAATGGTGATATAATCACTAATGAAATGGTGATGCAAAAATTTCTGATGGGTTCATTTTTACAAACTTGCTGATTATGTAGTTTAGAAATTTATGAAACAACTTTGCTACTAGTACATACCTTTAGAAATCTTACACTAAAGACACTAAGTTGACCAGGAATTTCCAGTTGCCACACTATGACAGAAACCACCTCTTACCAGATATTCATCTTCCAAAGAAAAGTGTGGATCACAAATCTTGCATTACAACTATGTGGTTATTTATAGCCTCAATTTTGGTAAATTTAACACAAGGATTCTGTAAAATTAGTACATTCTATTTTATTCAACAAAAACTCTGTCCAATATTGGTTTTAAGAAAGATCAAGAGTTGGTGATGAGCAAGGCACCATGGTGTAATGACAAATGGATGATAGCACAGTGCAGAGAATGTCATGTTACTGATGACAGATATGATTTAAACCTTGAATATTTCTTATTCAGGAAGATGCTAACTGACACCAGATTCCTAACAGTGTTTTTCCCACAGTCAGGTTAACAATCTGAATTTTGAGAATCCTCCCAAAGCTTTGAAAACCCAGAAGATTTTATGACTCTCACTGAACACTTATATTGATGAGGATTAATATTCTTTAATCCCATTTAGTGTGACTATGTATAGGTTTCTAGGTAGATATAGTAACGTGATTGATTACAGGTGCTGTCATAGACTGTATAAAGGTATTATATATCATATAATATATAGTGTATGCACATCTTATCTTACATTAGAAATATGTCTGGAATTGGATAAGAAAATAAGTAAATACATTAAGTACACATAAGGTTTCTAATATTTTATTAAATATGAGTTATACTAAAATGATATATATATGGATATTGATAGAGTTTTATAGACTCAGATTTTTTGGTTAATATTTAAAGTATGAAGCACACAATGTGTTGTATTTGTTTACTTGGCCTGTCATAATAAAATACCGTAAACTGAGCAGATTAAATGACAGAAATTATTTTCCTAATAGTTTTGGAGGCTAGGTGTCCAAGCTTAAGATATGTGCAAGGTCATTGCCTTTGAGGCCCCTCCCCTTCACTTATAGATGACAATCTTTTCATTGTATCGTCACACTGTTTTCCCTCTGTGTTTGTCTGTGTCCTAATTTCCTCTTCTTCTAAGGACACCTGCCATATTGGATTAAGGACCACCGTAATAATATTATTTTATAGTGATGGCCTCTTTGAAGACCTCACCTCCTAAAGCAATCATATTTTTAGGTGCTGTCATTGGGACTTCAAGATATAAATTTTAGAGGGACACAATTCAGCCCATTACAACTGTCTCTATGAAGGCTCTAATGTAATTGGAACAAAGAACAATTACACAGAAATGAAAAAGGAGGTACAATGAACTCCTGTGGAAGAAGAACCCAGGAAGGCCGATTTTCAACTTATCAATAACAAATGTTACATTATATTATATCAATAACTATCAATTTTAGCTTTCTTTGGATAGACTCCTTTATTGGTGTAGAATAAAATGGTAAATAAGCAAAACTAATAGAAAATGAACAGTTACAAGAAATTCTTGAATTTAGTAAAAAATAATCACAATACAGGCATTACCCTTGAAAAAATGGAAAATGGAGAGAATTTAGATTTTAAGCTGGGTGTCTTTGACAGCTGTCCTAGATTAGAATACTCTTGTCTTTATCACTTTGGTTCAGAGCGTGATATAAACCATATTATCCAAAATCTGAAATATCTCTGCTATTACCATTGAGCCTGGGTTTGAATTTTTTAATTATTTAAAAGGTTTTGAATCATGATATGGTTTGGCTGTGTCCACACCCAAAATCTCATCTTGAATTTTAATCCCCATAGCCCCCATGTGTCAAGAGAGAGACCAGGTGGAGGTAATTGAATCATGGGGGTGGTTTCCTCTATGCTGTTCTTATCATGATGAGTGAATTCTCATGAGATCTGATGGTTTTATAAATGTGTGGCAGTTCCTCCTGCATTCAATTCTCCTTTTTGCTGCCTTGTGAAGAAGGTCCCTTGCTTCCTCTTCACCTTCCACCATAAGTTTCCTGAGGCCTCCTCAACTACGCAGAACTGTGACTCAGTTAAACCTCTTTCCTTTATAAATTACCCAGTCCCAGACAGTCCTTTACTGCATTGTGAAAATTGACAAATAAAATCAGTTAATTTAGAATTATTATTCTTGTCATATCTAAGGACAATGATGTGTATTTTCATCTTTGAACATAATAATTCCTTAGGATAATTTTAATGGGCATATAACATCTATTCTTTTGGAATTATATGCTAATTTACTCACAGATGTCTCTGAAGTTATACGTTGTTAAAACTGTGTTTCAAGTATGAATAACTTGAGGTTGTAATCTTAACTGGTTTTATATGACATTTATGCTTTAGAGATGTATTTTCTCACTGAGGGTCCTTTTGCAGGGTACACAGTAGACTGGAAGTTTTTGATGTTTAAAAACATTTCCATTAGATTCAGAAAAAAATTTGATACTACCTTATTGTCAAATGTTTCTTGGATTCTTGTAGTATTCTAAATCATTACTATGATTCCATTTTTCAGTATAGAATAACATTTATCTTTTTAATAAAGTTTATGAAAAAGAAAAACTCCTGTATAATTTAGGATAAGGAAAACAAGGCACATTGTGATCAGAGTTGATTGACATATTTTAACATTTTTTTTCTACTTAAAAATAAATGGGGAATACATTAGAACCACAAGTTGCATTTCCTTTTAGTATTGATGGCAGAGAATAAGGAAGAAAACTGGTTATTGTATCCAGGCTGTAAAGGAGTCACATTATATATCACTGTGTCCGCAGGGGACATGATTAGACAAAATCCTGGAGACAGAGGAATATTTTTTAAAATGTGAATTTCATGAGAAAGTAGCTTTTTATATTATATTGTTGACTCAGTTTTAACTTGGGACCAATATTTCTTTTTCTTAGATTTTGTGGCTCAAGTAAACAGTCATTTTCCTTTGAAAACTTATAAAGCAAATTTTTCTTTAATATGCATGATAGTGGGAATGGTAGGGTAGCCTGAATTTTCTTCTTTTTTATGCAAAACTAATATATCATTATATTCTCCAAATGATTATTTCTTTAGAATTGCTGATAGTCTCTTAGCCACTCCAAACATAAATTCAATAAAACATATAACTCTTTATGTGTGACTCCGTAGGTTCAAAAACAAGCAAACAATAAAATTCCAATGAAAGAAGTAAGGTAGAGCAAAGGAAATAACAATAAAATGTAGTACATTGGGGAATGATTATAAAAAAGTAACTACTGGAAATACGAAAATCAAAAGCATGTTCAATTGTATGGAAAAGAAGGCATTGTTAACATTTTCTTTATTTCAATTTCTTGGGGAGGAATCCATAGTAGAACTAGTAAAGTCATCATTAAATACAGTCTCCTAACAAACATAGAGGTGAAATAGACTATTTCCAAACCACTATCATATATGCTTCTTACCATTAATATGTATCAAATTTTACATTATAAAATCTAACTTTGTAAAAAAAAATTAGTTCAATTTATTTTTATTTTTTTAGAAGAGTTTTATTTTTTTTTATTTAAAAAATTGCATTTGTTTTTGTTGTGTTTTGACAGAAAAATTCACGGGTCTTTGTGACACTGAAATACTCCCTCTTTTTTTAAAATTTATATTACTTTAAGTTCTGGGGTACATGTGCAGATCTTGCAAGATTGTTACATAGGTATATACATGCCATGGTGGTTTGCTGCACCCATTCCCCCGCCGCCTACATTAGGCATTTCTCCTAATGTTAGCCCTCCCCAGTCTCTCCACTCCCTGCTATCCCTTCCCTAGCTCTCCAACCACCAACAGACCCCAAGGTGTGATGTTTCTCCCTGTGTCCATGTGTTCTCCTTGTGCAACACCCACTTATGAATGAGAACATGTGGCATTTGGTTTTCTGTTCTTGTGTCAGTTTGCTGAGAATTATGGTTACCAGCTTCATCCGTGTCCCTGCAAACGACATGAACTCATCCTTTTTTATGGTTGCATATTATTCCATGGTATATATGTGCCTCATTTTCTTTATCCAGTCTATCATTGATGGGCATTTGGGTTGGTTTCAAGTCCTTGCTATTGTAAACAGTGACACAATGAACATACATGTGCATGTGTCTTTATTATAGAATGATTTATAATCCTTTGGGTATATACCCAGTAATGGGATTGCTGGGTCGAATGGTATTTCTATTTTTAGATCCTTGAGGAATCACCACACTGTCTTCCACAATAGTTGCACTAATTTACACTCACACCAACAGTGTAAAAGAGTTCCTATTTCTCCACATCCTCTCCACCATCTGCTGTCTCCAGATTTTTTAATGATCGCCATTCTAACTGGCAGGAGATGGTATCTCAATGTGGTTTCAATTTGCATTTCTCTAATGACCAGTGATGATGAGCATTTTTTCATATGTTTGTTGGCTGCATAAATGTCTTCTTCTGAAAAGTGTTTGTTCGTAGTTTTGCTCACTTTTTAGTTATTTGTAGATTATGGATGTTAGCCCTTTGTCAGATGAGTAGCTTGCAAAAAATTTTTTCCCCTTCTGTTGGTTGCAGGTTCACTCTAATGATTGTTTCTTTTGCTGTGCAGATGCTCTTAAGTTTAGTTATATCCCATTTGTCTATTTTGGCTTTTGTTGCCATTGCTTTTAGCATTTTAGTCAAGAAGTCATTGCCCATGTCTATGTCCAGAATGATATTGCCTGTGTTTCCTTATAGGGTTTTTATGGCGGTAGGTCTTATGTTTAAATCTTTAATCTATCTGGAGTTAATTTTTGTATAAGGTATAAGGAAGGGGTCCAGTTTCTGCTTTCTGCATATGGCTAGCAAGTTTTCCCAACACCATGTATTAAACAGGAAATCCTTTGCCTATTGCTTGTTTTTGTCAGGTTTATCAAAGATCAGATGGTTGTAGGTGTGTGCTATTACCTCTAAGGCCTGTGTTCTGTTCTATTGGTCTATGTCTCTGTCTTGATTACTGTAGCCTTGTGGCATAGTTTGAAGCCAGGTAGCATGATGCCTCAAGCTTTGTTCTTTTTGCATAGGATTGTCTTGGCTATGTGGGCTCTTTTTTTGGTTCCCTCTGAAGATTTACATGGTTTTTTCCAGTTCTGTGAAGAAGGTCAGTGGTAGCTTGATGGGGATAGCATTGAATCTGTAAATTACTTTGGGCAATATGGTCAATTTCATGATATTGATTCTTCCTAACCATGAGCATGGAATGTTTTTCCATCTGTTTGTGTCCTCTCTTATAGCCTTGAGCAGTGGTTTGTAGTTCTCCTTACAGAGGTCCTTTACATCTTTGTTTGTTGTATTTCTAGGTATTTTATTCTCTTTGTAACAATTGCGAATGGGAGTTCACCCATGATTTGGCTTTCTGTTTGTCTGTTATTGGCGTACAGAAATGCTTGTGATTTTTGCACACTGATTTTGTATCCTGAGACCTTGATGAAGTTGCTTATCAGTTCAAGGAGATTTGAGGCTGAGCTGATGGGGTTTTCTAAATATACAATCGTGTCATCTGCAAACGGGGACAATTTGATGTCCTCTCTTTCTATTTGAATACCTTTTATTTCTTTTTCTTGCCTGATTGTTCAGGCTAGAAATTCCCATACTATATTGAATGGGAATGTTGAGAGAGAGCACCCTTGTCTAGTGCCGGTTTTCAAAGGGAATGCTTCCAGTTTTTGCCCATTCAGTATGATATTGGCTGTGGGTTTGTCATAAATGGCTTTTATTATTCTGAGATATGTTTCATTGATACCTAGTTTATTAAGAGATTTTAGCATAAAGGGCTGCTGAATTTTGTCGAAGGCCTTCTCTGCATCTATTTAGATAATCATGTGGTTTTTGTCTTTGGCTCTGTTTATGTGACAGATTACGTTTATAGATTTGTGTATGTTGAACCAGCCTTGCATCCCTGGGATGAAGCCTACTTGATCATAATGGATAAGCTTTTGGATGTTGTATTCAGTTTGCTAGTATTTTATTTAAGATTTTTGCATTGATGTTCATCATGGATATTGGCCTGAAAATTTCTTTTTTAGTTGAGTCTCTGCCAGGTTATGGTATCAGGGTGAGGTTGGTCTCAGTTCAATTTATTTTTGCTTTTCAGAGGTACATTTGATGTTTTCAAAAGTTGTTGACGTATTTAAAGTTATTTAAATTATTCATAATGATATGTGTTCTTATTTCCAGAAAAGTATATATTTTGAAATCATTAGGATATTATTTGTTATTGTAGAAGGTATACTGTGAATTTTGGTAAGTCTACAATGAGGCAATTTTATAGATAGCGCCTGCTTTTAGAATAATCATGAATATTCTAGTAAAGATGATCACATATGGGATGGACACGTTTTACTGCATTGATGCAGGACCTTGAAAAATTGCTAAATGCACAAAACATGCTTACTGACTGAATTTGTGTCTCAACAAATAATGTAAACTTCAGCAGCACTTTATATGGGTATCTGTTTTCTGAAAAATAAACACCAAAGCAATGCAAATAAAACTTATAAATATTAAATAGTAGTAATTTTTCATATGATGTACAGTATTGTAATAAAATAAAAATATTTAAATCAGAGGTTAAGGTGTTTGTATAAAAACTAGAAATCAAGTTATTATAATAATGTCTCTCACTTTCAATGTAATTTCACCGGCCACTATTACATTCCTTCCCCCATTTCCATGTAAAATGAATTATTCTATAAAGTACTATAAGAGGTTATTTTTTAAATTCAGTAAACATTTACTGATATATTTGTATAAGAAGACTCATTGATCACCCAATTGCCTTCCTACTTAAACCACACATGAATCTTGTGTTATATAATGTGTAATAAAATAATAAATATAAGGAGTTGAAATAGACATCTGGTCTACTTACCTACCTTATGATCAAACAAACATAACCACCTTCGATATATTTCCACAGTAATCTTGCTTTCTGGAATCTCCATTATGAAGTTCCATAATATGAACCAATGTCAGTTTTCTTAGTCCCTCATATCCGCACAATCATATCTGATGGTCTTAAATACTACACTTGTTTTAACTACTTCCAAGCATATATCATAGACTAATTTTCTTTTCTCTACATTGCCCCTGAAGATTTCAACAAAACTACTGTTCCAAGAAAACTGTACATTCTAACAAAAATATACTGTGTGTATAAATACACATCTACTCTGCTTCCCTTTTCTAGTAGTAAGAATAATGTGATCCCTATACTTATTTTTCATTATTTTTTAGTAATAGAGCCCTAAATTTATTCAGAACACCATTTTACAAAACTTAAAGACCATTTTCTAAGCTATTTGCAACTAGCAGTGCCTGGTAAGATGTAAGCGAAAGGCATTGCATGGGAATTTTAGAGAAGATTTTTCAAACTCTCTTTAAAACTGGCTGGCTCTGTTGAGAGGTGCACCTGTTTTCCTTGCCCTCTTCTCCCTCCTGCTTCTAGGGACATGAGCAAGCTGGATGGGCCTGGAGCTACGTGCTGCTAATCACAGAGCAAAAATATGTGTGGTCCTGGAGCTACCACAATGGCTGTGATCACAGAGCAAAAATATATGTGGTCCTGGAGCTACCACAATGGCTGTGGACTAGCTAAAATAGATTGATTTTTATGTGAGACAGAAGAAACACATCTATATGTTTAACCTGATTTTGCCTTACAATTCTCTAACCAACATCGGAAAGCAATTTTTAAGTAATACTATAGCATTCTATTTTAGCTGGCATCAACCAGGAGAGGTGAGAGGAGCTCTGTGAGTATTTGGTTTAGAGACTACACCTCAATCAACTCAAGTTATAGTCAAGTAATATCACAATATTGTGATATCCTCAATGTGATGTTTTAGACATAACAATATAACTTGACTACATTGAGGGTATTTTGTATACATATTTTCTGTTAATCTGTACATATTTTCTTGTTTATTTAAAAATTATAAAAATGAATTAAAACCTGGTCTTGCATTTTCTTAATTTTTTGCATTCTAGATTATCTTCTCTATCCATTTGCAAAATATCAATCAGGAAGTAAGTCTTGTTATTTAATTAAATCATACTTTATTATTGAATATGTATATTATTGAATATGTATATCATAAAATACTTAGCTCTTCATAAAGTGAGAATTAAGGAATATTGTTATTTTAGTAAACTAATGGAAGAATTAATTAACCACCAATATAAGAACTACTGTAGATACTTGATAAAAATTCTCTAGTGTTACATATATTTGTAACAACTACCTCTCATTAAGTAAAGTTAAATGTAAAAATATCTGCAAATAGGTAAAGTTAAATATACAAATTAAAAACATGCTGGATGAATAATATATTTTAATATTATATCCATGAATAATAAATACAATGCTTTATTTGGCAAGGAAATATCTTGGTGGATGATATTTTTATTTCTACCACCTGGCAAATATTAATAAATTCTTACTCTTCCTCACCTTACAGAGAAAACACATGGAGTTAGGCTTTTCATATAAGAAGCATCTGAATAACAAATTACTAATTGTTAACCAGATTCCTTTCTTATGTCACTTATAGATAGCCATGCAAAACAGAATTTCCCAGGGAAGTGCAGATGTGTGAGAAAGCAAAGGAGGAATCTGAAAAACTCAAGTGGTTGATGGTTGATGGCCACTGTCTACCTCATGGGGTGTGCCAATCTGGGCTCAACGTTTTTTTGTCACTGGATTCTGGATGTTGCTGTGCCCAAAAATGATGGCTTAAGCTCTGAGTGCTCTGTGAATGACCTAACATTAACACTCAAAATATATAACCCCTGCATAAGGGCATTTGGCAGACATTGAGGCTTGTTATCCAAATTCTATTCCCCAGCAAGTTATCTTTGGTCAGGCTCTACTTGAGACTAAAATACCTAAATAATTGCTTTCTCGCTCTCCTTAGCAG